CAGCCTTCAGCCTGCGACAATGACGGAGATTCCGCGGCGGAGTAAAGTTTTCCTGCTCAAGGCGTAAAATGAAATCGACAGTAATTTGTGTTTATCTGTCTCTGTCTCTATCAGCTCCCTATCCCCATCTCACTCTCATCTCTGGCTGCCTCCGTGTTGGAATAACAATTGTGACAACTTTTGCTACTCCTGGTGTCTTGGAAGTATACTCTGGGAGTGTGTATGTGGGCTAAAGTTGAACAACAGGAAATTACTTTAATTCGAAAAGTTGACTCTATCAAACTATGGCATCTAAACGACGTCTGGTGTTAATGTGTGCGACAAATATTGTATTCTCCCCCCGACTCGGGTTCAATAAGCCGCCTCCATCATATTGCCGGAGTGCCTCCTTGGGGGTTGAGTCGGCAGAGCAGCCCTAAGTCACTTTGATGGCGCATAAGTAAGTGCCAATGAATTATTCATGTGCTATTTATACAAAATCGAAATGATAATCGTTCGCTTTAGCATTTAAATCAGTTCATTCTGGCATCTTTGGGAGGCCAACGATGTAACTCACTCTACATTTTTGTGGTTGACTCCTTAAAGGAGCTACTGCGATTGGAAAGCAAACCAATTTACATCTAAAGGGAAGGATTTTCTTAGAGGTAATTTTGTTAAGTTTAAAAGGAGATAGGTGGTTAAAAAATCAAAGGTATATTGCAGATTAAAGCCCACATCTAAGAGGAGCATTTCTTCTGCTTCCTTTAAGAGGATTTCCCTATCTAGCTAGCGATATCCATCTATAATTTCGACACCATATGCACCGATTTCCACTTACTTGCCACTTACGTAGATGGTCGACCACTTGCCCCTGCCTTGGCTGCTGGAGTTGCCCCACCAATTGACATTTATGACTTGTGCAAGCATGCAAATCCGACGATAACACGCCTCACCACACGCCAAAGTACGAGCTGGCGTAGTCCTCGAAGAGGAAGGCCCAGGAAAAAATGGCTAAGAACGGCAAATGCCACACGCTTAACAGGAGAGTCATGAAAGCATCAAGTTCCTATCTGTATTTATTCATAACTGCAATTTCCAGTCCCTAAGCCACACACATCGAAATGTGTGTGTCGGGCATGGATTTTTCTGTTAAATTGTCTTGTTGGGAGAAACTCGCACACACTTAATGTCCTGGCAGTGGAGGGGGAAATCCGATTTGCATGGCTGGTGGCAAGCTGGCATTGTTGGAATGCATTCTCCCCAGTTGACAGTTGATAAACGACTTGCACTCAGTTCTTAGAGTGTCAAGCTTGCTTTTCGCAATAGTACGTACAATCTGCTAGCCATATATAAAGCGAGTGGATGTGGCGGGCGGGATGGCGCTTCCCGGCGTATTATTTCAATTCGCGATGAGTGGAGAGCGCCACGAGTGAGTGATGATTGTCAGACAAGTCCTGTTCCTGCCCCACATCCCCACTTTCCTGAGGCAGGCCCGGTTTCTGGGCTTATCGCACACTTGTTGCCGGGCTTTGCATAATTTATGATCTTTGCCGTAATTGCTCTATTTTATGTCTTCACCCAACCATGGTTTAAAGACCTCCTCTTCCTCCAAAAAACCCAACTCGCTTATCGAGCCACTAGAACTCAAGGCGCGCTGGCGGCAAGGACTTCGGCACTTAAGCCTTTTAAAATTTATGTCAAATGCATTTGTAAAATACGGCAAACGTACGAGTGGTAGAACCGATTTCTATGCCATTTAAACTAACACGCACAGTGGTTTCAAACCAGAGGTTAGCTTTACAAATTAGCTTTTTAAAATTAGCCTTCTTTCATTACAATTTTTTTGTATTAACTAGAAAAAGTATGTATCTGGTCCATATGATTCTCGATTTTATTTTTCTTCTTATGTACCATCTAAGATCTTCTTTTGTTTTGGTCCTTCGAGACATATGGATCCAGTATGCCAAAAATCCTTTTAAAATGGCAAGGCGTGGCGTCCCAAAAATATATTCTTTTACTCTACGAGTAACAGGTATAAAAATCAGAAAGTTCTTAACCTGTAATCTGCATAAATAATATACTATATTTTTTAACTTTTCTATTAAATTGGTATACATTTTTGTGGCTACAAAGATTGACATAAAGCCCAATGTACAGCAAGGATGTCGATTGTGAAGGAAAAGGGTAAAAACAAAATGTGGCAACAGCGAAAAAATCTTGGCGCATTTTCGTGCAGTCGCCGGTCGTGGGAAATATTCGTGCATGGAAAATGTAATTTCAGAGCCCAGAGCACGTTGGTAGTCTCAGCTTTTGGCCATGTTCTCCGTGTTGCAAGGGTTTCGGGTTGGCTCCTCGACCACATATGCATATATACTTGTATGTTGCAAATGCTACAAAATGGCGACAGCGGCCATGTTCCCCCTTTGTCCCTTTCCACTGTCCACTTCAATATGTGCTGTCTTTATCAGCATCGCCATCGCCTTTTCCTTTGGCGGAGCTCTGGAGTTTTTGCCACGACTTTTATGGAAAATGCATTTAGGAGAGCACTTGGAGGAGAAGAACGCCCTAACTCAGCCATCCATCGCCGGGTCTTGGTCGTTTTGTCATCTTTTATCTTATGCAAATAGTGCAGGCTGCCAGCAAAAAACTACCTGACGCCATTCGAATGCCAGTTAAAACCACCAAAAGTTCAGGTGTGTGTGTTCCATATTTACACACAAGATAGTGGCCCGAAAGAAAAAATTTGGTCACGAAGTGCTGAAAATATTTGCTGGCATTAAACAAAGAGGTCACGAAGATGCCGTGCCACAGGACCACAGGCTAGGAACATTTTAAATTCTCATTTATTTTGTATTTCGAGAGGCGCAAAAAAGAAAACATTTTACATGCATATGCCGCAAATCAATACGCACTTCAGTGCAAATATGTTTCTTCTGTGTGGCATGGTGTGTGGGTGTGCATCCTCATACACACACCCTCCTGCGTGTGCGAGTGTGAGTGTTGTGCAAATAAAATGGCACCAACAAGCACGCACCATATTGTATTTATGTAAATTTATTTCCGTTACATTTCCGCCGCTCAATTGAAAATCGGCATGTGATTTCCCATTTTTTCCTTCATTTCTCTGGCGAACAGTTGCTGGGCTGTTTTTCCTTGCCAAAGAAAAAAAAAATAAAAGAATTGTATGAAAAAAAGTATTTAATACAAAATAAAAAAAAAAGGGAAAACTGCAAATATGCGTTTTTGTTGAAGGCCTCGAGGTAGGCCTTTGTGGCATGTTCAATGTGGCAAGTCAATCTGAATAACAGATTTTGTTGCCATCGTCTTGAGCGGATTTTCTGCTACGTCCAATTCAAGGAACTCAATTGGCCCGCCCGAGCACCATTGTGGAATATTTGATTTATTGAATATATTTCCCAGAGTTACATTGTGACGGTTATTGAATAAGTTTTCCTTGGTTTTTGTGCTCGATCGATTCCAAGTTCTCCAGAGTGCCTCGAAACTCAAAGTTTATAGAAATTTAAATGGGTTCTGTACTCTTTTTGTTATAATTTCGTAAAACTATAGGATAAGGATAAAATTCCACTAAAAAATGTAATACTATCGACCACGACATTTAGAATTAATTTACTCAGCTGACGTTACATTTCCAGTGCTCTACTTTTTGTGGGAAAATAGTGGTAATTATACTTTCATTCGAACTTGGCTCAGTTCTTTCATTCGTTTGAAATTTTAATTTGGTTTTAAACAGCTTTCTTTGCTCAGAGTGTAGTTTGTAAAGTGGAGCAGCCAATTTAATTTCCTTCTGGCTTATTGTCCTATCTAAATTGTTTGGCTCTTTTCGCTTTTGTTGCTGCTAAAAGCCAAACAATAGCCGTCTATTGTTTGCCGAACAAACTCAGACAAAGGCCAAACTTTTGTCTCCATCTCGGAGTCGCTTAGTGAATTCCGATGAAAGTACATGGCAGTGGCTCGGGATATGGACACATGTTGCAGACGATGCGATGCAGAGGAAATTACGAAACACTCACTGCACATTTCGCATGGAACTGGCTTAATTAAACGTTAAAAGAACATCAATGAGCCGATGTCGGATCAAATACGCTTCATAGCTCATTATCTTTCGGTTGACAATGGAGAATTCCCATCAAAATGTGCAGTCCATATGGGGAGCTCACTCCCTTCCCCACACATGTGTTTAATTTCCTGCAGGCCACAAACTATTTGTGGCATAATGTGGCCCATTTTGGCCATTCATGCCTCCATTTCTCCTACACTTTTACAAACTTCAGTGCCGTTGATGGACTTGCCGAGTTTTAGCCAAAGTTTCTAGTGTCAGAATGCAGTCGCGGGCTTCCTCATGTTGCACCAAATGTTGTCTAATAATCCAAAAATAGACCCTAACTCGGTGGCCGCAAAACTTCGTCCGTCTCTATCCTGGATGGCAAGGAACTTTGCCGGAGTGTAGTGCAAAATCCTGGCCAAGCCCCGGGATGTGGCAACAGCAGCAGCCCGGCAACATTGGCACATTCATCATTTTTGGGGAGCTGTGGCCAGGACCAAGGATGTGGCATCAGGCAATAGCAGCTGTTGCAGTTCAAGCAGCAGCAGTGGCAGCAACGGCGAGGCAACTTCTTGTCACATGTCACGTCGGCTGCTCCGCTTCAGGGGGTGTAGGGGGTGTAGGAGCTAAAGGGGCGTGGCAGCCAAAGAATGCGAAACAGGCCCGACGCCGTCCTTCTCTTTAAGATTTTTCTGCGGATCCTGAATTTCCTGATTTTCCTTCGTTATGGGATGGGTAGGGATTAAGGTGGTTTTAAGAGTCCCAACTTAAGATATATATTATTTAAATTTTATAATATCCAAAGAAATCTAATATAATCGAAAACCATTCAACCATATATTCAACCATTCAACCATTGTTGACGATAACTATCGAGCCCCATAGAAATTTAAGGAACACATATATTATATGGATCATGTTACCATTGCTCTTCTTATTTTATTGAAAACATGTTATTTAAAAGTTTCAGTCATAATACAAAATTTTTGTTTTAAAAAAAATAATCAATTTTATTTTATGCAATGTCCGATCGTCCAGATCAACCAGAATGGGGCATAAAATTTTCGAAATGCTTCATTATCCCCCAACGTGTTATTGTGGCCATCATGGGATTCCTGGCCATTGTGAACGCCTACACAATGCGAGTTTGTCTCTCGCAGGTCATCGTGGTGCTGGTGGTACCGAAGAACGTCACGAACCACCATTCGCAAGCGGTTTGCAAACCAGAGGAAGGAGACTCGGTCACTCATCGGCCTGGCGGCGACTACGAATGGTCGGAGAAACTGCAAGGCTTTATCCTCGGTTCATTCTACATCGGATATGTTGTGACCCATATTCCCGGCGGAATTTTGGCTGACAAATTTGGAGGAAAATGGGTCCTAAGTCTGGGAATCTTATTGACGGCTTTGTTTTCCTTTTTGACGCCTACATGTGTTAATTTGGGAGGCGCTAATGCTTTGATTGCCCTACGTATCCTGATGGGCTTTGGCGAGGGCACCACCTTCCCAGCTCTGAGCGTTATGGTGTCCAACTGGGTTCCAGCAAACGAACGTGGAAAACTGGGATCTCTGGTCATGGGCGGATGCTGCTTGGGCAGCATAGTCGGAAATTCAATATCTGGTTTGATCCTCGACAGGTTCCACTGGCCTTGGGTCTTTTATTTTTTCGGAATGGCGGCGTGCGTGTGGTTTATCATTTTTACACTGCTGTGTTACAGCTACCCCCATTCCCACCCGTTTATCAAGCCATCGGAACGTGAATATCTTATGAACGAGATTCCCCAACCGAAGCAAAAACCACCGGTTCCGTGGAAAGCGATCCTCACAAACTTGCCCATGATATCGGTAATCATCTGTCAAATCGGACACGACTGGGGATTCTTCGTCATGGTGGCGGACTTGCCCAAGTACATGGCCAACGTCATGAGGTTTTCTATCAAATCGAATGGACTGTACTCCTCCATACCTTACGTTGTTATGTGGCTAATGGCGGTTGGCAGTGGATGTGCTTCCGATTCAATAATCAAAAGCGGATGCTTGAGCAGGACCAATACCCGGAAAATTATGACTGCCATTGCTGCTTTCGGCCCGGGTATTTTCATGGTGGCTGCATCTTACGCTGGCTGTAATCGCCCCTTGGTTGTGATCCTCTTCACCCTCGCAATGGGTACTATGGGCTCCTACTACGCTGGTATGAAGCTTTCACCCCTGGACATGAGCCCCAATTACGCTGGCACCCTGATGGCCATGACCAACGGAATCGCTGCCTGTGCTGGCTTAGTATCTCCCTACGTAGCGGGCTTGTTGACCCCGAATGCCAACATGACTGAATGGCGCGTTGTGTTCTGGCTGACCCTCGGCATACTCTCTGCCACAGTTATTGTATACCTCATCTGGGCATCTGGGGAAATCCAGCCATTCGACGATGGCACCAACTCCAACAAAAAGAAAGAAGAACCAGCCAAATAAGGGAACTGAAATTATTGGAATTCTTCGTGTTTCGAAATGCTGGCTCAGACTAGTGCTAGTGATCGATAAAGATCATTTGTACTTTGCGCCTCAAATAACTTACTTTTAAAAATCACTGTGGACGACAGGTGGACGAATCTTATGACTTAGTAGTATTAACCTTATGACAAAATTTTCTGTCCACCTCTATTTGAGAGATATTGTTTAAATACAATTTTTTTTTAACCATTTACCAATAGTTTTTTGTTTGGAAGAAATTTGCGTAAAACAGGGAAAGTTAGCTTCGGGCAACCGTCGACATACCCCTTCGGTTGAGATTTGGAATTTTTTTTGTCCATTTTTCATGATGGCATCCCTTGAAAATGGGGTTTTCCCCTATAGGGCCCACAGTGATGGCTATATATTTCCCAATTCTCATCCGATTCTCAAGCGGAGTACCTTAAACGATTTCTAGATCGATTCCCCACAATTCTGCATCAAAATCCTAAAACAAAATATTTTTCATATTTTTTGTCCATTTTTCGATGGGGAGATGGGGTTTCCCTTGAAAATGGTGTTTTCCCCTATATGGCCCACAGTGATAGCTATATCTTCAACAATTCTCATCCGATTCTCAAGCGGAGTACCTTAAACGATTTTTAGATCGATTGTCTACCATTCCGCATCAAAATCCTGAGACAAAATATTTTTTAGATTTTTTGTCCATTTTTTGTGAGGGATCCCTTGAAAATGGGGTTTTTCCCTATAGGGCCCACAGTGATGGCTATATATTTCCCAATTCTCATCCGATTCTCAAGCGGAGTACCTTAAACGATTTCTAGATCGATTCCCCACAATTCTGCATCAAAATCCTAAGACAAAATATTTTTCATATTTTTTGTCCATTTTTCGATGGGGAGATGGGGTTTCCCTTGAAAATGGTGTTTTCCCCTATATGGCCCACAGTGATAGCTATATCTTCCCCAATTCTCATCCGATTCTCAAGCGGAGTAGCTTAAACGATTTCTGGACTGATTCTCCACCATTCTGCATTAAAATCCTGAGACAAAATATTTTTTAGATTTTTTGTCCATTTTTCGTGATGGGATCCCTTGAAAATGGGGTTTTTCCCTATAGGGCCCACAGTGATGGCCATATCTTCTTCAATTCTCATCCGATTCCCAAGCGGAGTACCTTAAACGATTTCCGGTCTGATTCTTCACCATTCTGCATCAAAATCCAGAGACAAAATGTTTTTTTAATTTTTTGTCCATTTTTCGATGGGTAGATGGGGTTTCCCTTGAAAATGGGGTTTTCCCCTATATGGCCAATCCTTATCCAATTGATCCTTATTTGATTTTGGATTAAATATGAAAAGGGTCCCCAGCATATTATACTCATATTATTTCATTTGTTTATTTTAATCGCTTTTATATACATTTTAAGTATCTGCAATGGATCTGGATGGATGGTAATTCAAAGACGGATGGACGGCAGCGTGGACTTTAAGCGGACTTGGACAAAGAGATGGATTTGGCAATTTGACAGGAGAGTTCTTCATAGGCCTGGAGAAGTTGCACCTCATAACTCAATCGAGACAGCACGAACTGTTTATTCGTCTGGGAAAAGTGAATGGGTCCAATGCTTTCGTCAAGTATGATGATTTCAAGATTGGCATCGAGGAGAAAACCTATTTATTGGATGGTTAAAAGAAGTTTAGTGTGTAAGAGTTTCTAAAATTCCATATTCAAAAATATTCCTTACATAGTTTGGGTCTAATCATCATTTTGACAAATGTATGTGAAACATTGTACTCCCAACCGTGGCAACTTCGGCAAAGAATCCCGTATAAGTCATCCTTCTGTTTGCCCTCTTTGTAGAACCTTCTGTTTAGCTGACTGTAAGTTAAAGAATTTAATTTACGATACGATTACGATTAATGATATACCTTAATGCACAATTTGGTAACCGCCAGCCACCACCAAACTTTTCAGCGTAATTATATTTATGAAGGTGAGTATCCCCGTGAAATGTTAAGAATATCATGTTCGTATGGTATTTATTGAGGGAGTCTCCTGCGCTTCCAGTGTGATTTCCAATTGATTCCAATAGATAGGCAGTATCCTTGATGCAAACCATGAAATCATCATACTTGACGAAATCAGTGGACCCATTCACTATTCCCAGACGGATAAGCAGTTCGTGCTGTCTCGAATTAGTGATGAAGTGCAACTTATCCAGGCCTATGGAGAGCTCTCCTGTCAAATTTCCAAGCCCATCTCTGTATTCATTCCAACTTCGGGTAAAGTCCACGCTGCCGTCCACCCGTCGTTGAATCACCATCCATCCAGACCCTTTGCAAGGAGCCTCAAATGCATCTCCTCAAGGCAGCTTTATATGGGAAATGTCTTTGCCGGCGTGGGCCAATAGTTTAATTGATCACATTTCCACATTTTTTCAATTTTTCAGTTCTTAATTTTTTTGGTAATTTTAATTATTGTGTAATCCTTATCAGCTCTTCACTTTATTGTGGCTTCTGATCAGAGCTTAGTCTGGTAAATTATTTGCAAGACATTATTCCTCGGCAACAATTGTGTCACCAAGGACTAAAACTAATGGAATCACTATTATAACTCGCGGATCTATGGCGTGCTTTCAGTTCTCTATATTACAATTGAATGAAAAATAAGCCGTGCTTGTCTAAAAACGAAAAGTCTCTCCACGCCAACTTTTATGATAAGAACAGTTTCGGGCTTTCGTAAGGGTATTGATGAGGTTTGCGGCATCAAAGGTCACATCCGTTAGATTATTTTTGTATTTTCAGAATCTTTAATCTCAGCTTATTTTTTTAAGGGGGACGAAGTCATCTGTGGGTGCTTATATACAAATATATATATACAAATTATATATACAAATATACATATACTTATGACTAGTATATTCTATTTAATCGGTGATTATTGATTTCCTGCAGTATAAAATTAAGCTACTCTGAAAGCTTACCAATAAACTATTACTACATTATTATAACTATATTACATATTATATTTATATACTAATGCTTATGAAAAGTTGTTCATTCCAAAAGTTTAAACTGCGGAAATAGGCAGACGTAAGAATATATGTACTTAATCGATTTGACGAGTCATAACGTCTAGAGGCTATCTAGGGTTAAAGGTATAGGTCGGCTCTAAAAACAGAATGAAAGTGTTTTGGAGCTAGCAACCGAAACTAGGCCAAGAAATAAATAACAAGATTGTAAAATGAGCTTGGCGCTAAAAAACGAAACCAAAGATTCAATGCCGCACTAAATACTATTAATTTCTTGGAAAATAAGATTTATAAACTGTTTTTCAGTTTATAAAAAGAAAAAGACTATAGAGAGCTATAGAAAAAGACTTGATATTTTTTTGTTTCATAATTATATTTATTTTTGGAGAATCAGTAGATCGTATATTACAGCTTTGTATCGAAGTGGTGGATCAGAGTGTTAGCTTCGGCGAGGAAGGATAAGTTCTTAAGCCTTGCCCTTGCCGTTGCGCCTCCTCACGGAGGTGCGGCGACGAGCACCAGCACGACCACGACGACCGCCGCGCCTGCGTCCACCGCGACGTCCAGAGCGGCGGGTCTTGCGGCCCCCACGGCGACCTCCCCGGCGACCACCTCGGCGACGGCGACCGGCACGGATGATGCGGCGGGCACGGGCGTCATCCTTGTTGGGTCGCACAATGGTGTCCTTGTCGTTGGTGGTGGTGTCCTTCTCCTGCTTGTTCTCAGTGGCGGCACCATCTTCGCTGCGTCCCTCCAGTTCGCTTTCCTCTTGCTCCTGCTCCTGGCGCTCTAGTTCCTGTTCCTGGGCAGCCAGCTCGGAGTCCTTCTCACCGTCGGTGGTCTTCTCGACCAGCTCGGAGCCGCGGCGAGTGCTCAGGACGCGGCTGCGCTGGGCCGCCGCCTCGCTGGAGACCACCAGGCAGCAGAGGGCCGCCAAGGCGAAGATCAGGGCGTATTTAGCTGACATTGTTGCTCGAACTGTTGCTTGGGGAAAGCCGGAAGTGGTTGTGATGCTTTCGAGGTGACACCTCCGGTGTTTTATACTCCTCGATCCAGCCAAGAACTTTGTGGCCAGCATCTGTTCAAATGTTTTCCCACTGCAAGATGTTGCATTATACCTGCCCCACAGCTAACAGCTTGCACCCTTCCCCCACTCCCTCCAGCCATCTTCAGCTGTGTTTGCTCCCCACCCGCCGCACCAAACTCGATTCGATACCGTCCGGCTATTAATTTGATCTTTTGTTTAGCTTAGTTCCCTGCCTTTCAACTGCAGCACTTTTTCCGCCACCGCCTTTTCCCGGCTCACGGTTCATTTCCTTACAAATTGCTTGCCCTCCGGCTGGCTTCCTGAGCTGCGTCCGCAAATAATTGGTTTCGCCATTGCCCTGGCTCCCCGGGCTCAAGCTATGATTCCCACAGCAGCCAGTTGGCCAGACGAGTTGGCCAGAATATCATTTAAAAAAAAAACAAGCCAATGGTGCACAAAAGCGTTTTAGTTGCGCTTTCGTTTGATTTAGTCGAGCAATGCCCGTGGCCCCAGGGAGGTATTGGTAATTCAGAAAGGATTTCAGAGTCTGCGGAGCTTCCGGAATCGGAAATGCCACTTGAAAAAATATTCAATCATTGGTAAAATAGTTCAGTAATTCAGGAGAACTTTGAATAGAATATAATAAAGTCGTAGTGTTTCTTTCACTGATCCTAAAACAAACTCCAATCATGACTATTAAAAACTGCAGAGCAAACATCTAGCGGCTATTTAGTAACACACTTTAATGAATTAAAAACACATTTTCCGTGGCCCCTAACTATTTAGTTTAGTAGCAAAGGATCGCAGGATGCTGAAGCTATCGGGATATATCTTTCGGGCAACCTGCCAGCAATCAAACATATTTATTGCGCTTAAACGCTTTGCCAATAATTTCTGCTTCGGCAGCTGGTGGCGCAACTCGAAGGTGGAGCACGTGCCGCCGGAAATCACGTGGCCGACATTTGTTGAAATGATTTACAATTGTTGATTATTTGGCCTAAAGAGCTTGAGTTCCCCCACAGCTTGAGCTAAAAAGGAAATTTCACACAATCTTTAATTTGATTTAGGGCAGTCATGTACAAGCGCCGAGTGGTGTTCAATTGGTTCATGTAATGGAATGGAATTTATTGGCGTAGCCTTGGCTCCGATTCGCAGGACTCCTGAACGGGTGTGCTTGAAAAACTAATTAAATGGCGCTTACAGTGGGAACAAAGGATTTTCAATTTCAGCCAACAAAAGAGGTCTCGCATGTCCCTTTGCCAAGGACTCGACATGTCCAACTCGAAGCTGCGCCGGTTGGTAGTCAATGTCTTGGATAGTTCTTGGGCAAATTGGTCGAATAATACTTTACTAACATTTTTGTATTATATTATTATTATTTATTATTTATATATTATATTAGTGTATTATTATTTGTATTATATTTAAGATATTAAATATAAGATATTTTATAACCGAAAAACTAAAATTCTTACAAACTTAATACTTCATTTTCGTTTTTAGTTACTCATCCCAGCCGCTTGGGGAAGGGTGTCAGATGGATCAACACGTTACTGTAGAGATCAACACGTTACTGTCACACTACTTCAATCACCTGACCGAGCTGAACACATCTGAACTCCAAATACAACAAAAATAAAAATATTTTAGACAAGCTTCAAATTAGGCTTCAACTAAATGTCGCAGAGCCCGGAATATGAAGGTGTCTCCTCCTCGGATGGCCTACCTGAGGTGCGGATTATGATCGTGGGCCGCGATCCCGGTAATGCCCTGATCTTGGCACCTGAAATCTCTCAGGTAGCATCTGATCTTCATCTGGAAGAAGAAGACTCGAACGATTCGAGAGTGATTCTAGATGCGATAGAAAGCGATGACGAGCTTTCGAATGTGGCCACACCCAGTGGTGTCACGGAGCGGGATGCGACTAGTAATCTGGAGCAGCTTCTCAACGTGCTGGCTCGCTGCGTGATGTGCAAGAATATATCCTTTACTGCCCTCTTCCAGTGCCCGCGGGGCCACCTCATCTGCGCCGGCTGCTACGAGATCCGCGTTCACGACAAGTCACATACCGCCGGACTGAGCACCTGCCCAGAGTGTGGAGTGCGGATCAATATCCGGGAGCCCATCCAGAATGTGGTAGCTGAGAGCTCCGTGGCTAAGATACCTGTGGCCTGTGAACATTGTGGCGCCAAGATGCTGCGGTCCGGCCTGCGAGAGCATTTTCTGCGATCTTGCCCCAAGCGCCTGGTGTCCTGCCAATATCACAGATTGGGCTGCGAATGGGTGGGCGAGGCCCCGATGCAGAGTGACCACCAAAACGTGTGTCCAGTTGGGGGCAAGACTGGCTTAGAGCTGCTCGAGAGCCTCCAGTTGAAGCAGGCCACCAGAGATGCGAAGGACCGCATAATCAGCCAAATTCTGACGATAATGCAACTTTCTGATCTCAAAATGCGTCGGTTGCAGATTCTGCCGCAGTGCAATCGGTTGGGCTTGTTTCCTATGGATACCTTTGTCAGTGTGGCACGGTTTCAAGCTTACCATCACCATTGGGAAGTGCTTCTCAAGTGGCAGAGCTCACCCCGAGTGCCGACCAGCAAAGAGAACTCATCCGAAGATTCAAGTAAAAATTCCAATAAAGAGGAGCCCGACAGATTGCCGAACAGCTCCGAGAAATCATCCGAAGATGGAAGTGAAGCTGCCCAGAAAGAGGAGCCAGGTAGTGTACCGAAGCCAGATTCACCGGCTTTCAATACGTTGATGTTCCAGTTGCGCCTCGAGTCCGCCGACGATTGCCGCTCCACAATGGTGCTCAGCTACACTTTTGTCCAGGGAACCTACTCGGAGGTCCGGTTTATTCCCAATCTCTGCGAGCGATGTGAGTTCTCCAAGGATCGCATTACGAGTCCACCCTCGGTATTCTACAGACATACTCATACGCACTGCAGCAAGCTGGTGAACGAGCGCGGAATCTTTACCCGCCTCCTAATGGTTACAAACTAATTGGACTCCATCTCAGGGACTTGGAGCATAGGTATGGTAGTTCATAGTTGTTTGACGATTTTCATTTTTTGCTTCCTCGATAAGAGCGATTTTGGGTGGCCATTACTATTTTGTTAGGAAAATTAAATTGTTCAAAAGTTCAAAAGAAATATGAAAACAAAAAAAACAAAAATTATATGTTTAAATCATATATTTAATAAATTTTATTATACGATAATCAAAACACGAACTTCAATGGTGTTTCACATCGCATTCCTTACATTTTCACAGAAACCCATTCCTGAAGGCATCAAAATGAAATGGCCAAGAACCAGCAAAGGTCCCGAGACGCAGTCCCCCAGCCAATCCGACTAAGCCTTTTTTCCTCGGCTCGGAGGGCGGAGGCATCACCTGCTGGGGGCCAGGCCCTGACAGCCGAGTCGAGTGCACATTTGCCTAAGTTATTTGACTTTCTCCGGGTGCCGCACAAAGGGCCCAAAGCAGCAAAAGAGCAAATGTGTGGGCCAGGTCTGGGCCTCGTTGGCAGCTTTTTTTCTTGGAGCCTTGTTGCCAAAACATTGGGGTTCTGCTCTCTGTCATTGTCCTTCGCAGCGACGCTCTGTCTCCGTCACTCCTGAGAGGAGAGGGCTGCTCTGAATAGCTGGGGGCTCGAAAGCGTGTCAGAGTTTGCATTAGAGCTCGACATGGCTGCAGGGACAAAAGCGGGTAGACTTGAAAAAATGCTTAAAATTTAGAAAACTAAGGCTTAGTTGAAATTAAGATGATAAACCTAAAAGATGGACAAGTATTCATGATATCACAAAATGGCTGGTTGACCTAAGATTAAAGATTTCAATATAGTTTTTTTTAAGTGCAAAATTTATAAAGTTCATTGCTGGTTGTTGTCTCTACTTGATTGAGTTTTATGCACAGTTAATCCCCCAGTCCCTTCGAACTCGTCGGCCTCCCAGCCCTTCAACTTTGAACTCTGAAGTGTCGCTTAATAGCCGGCGGCCTGAACACACGTGCAGCACATCCTTAATTTGACAGACGAGTTTTAGGCCGGGGCTCCGGCTTCATTCAGCTTTAAAGCCATCAACTCGACTGCGTACTTGAACTTGGCCAAGTGCTAGGAAATGGAGCCCTGCAACGGCAGCCACTTGTGCGTACTTGGGTTCCAGCATGATGGCTCATTGTTGTCTGCTCTCCGCTCGGCATTCACCTTTATTTGCTCTAGGAGTTATTTATTCAAAAGCACAACAATTTCGCAAATCTCTTCTTCCTATATACACATTCGTATGTTTATTTATTTATCTGGCTTTTAGCTAAACTTTGGCTTTTCGACTCTTTGTGCCAAGTTCCATTTCAATGGGCTCGCCCTTCATGCTCCGTCTGGCATAATGCGTTCCCCTACATTTCCTCCACGCGTCCTGGTTTATTTGCTTTTCCAGCAATGCAAGTCATTGCTTCCTTTTGACGTCATTATAATTCAGAGTCCAAACAAAGACTCTGCTTTTTTGTTGGGTGAGGCAATTTAAAATTTTATTGAGGACCTTGGGGAAAGATGGTCGAAAAGAAGTGCATATTTGATTTGGCAAAAGCCTTTCCACTGCCGGATAATCGATATTTGCTACGTATTTTTTCCCTATTTTCCTGGTTGGCGAGCTTGGGCAACACTTTCCAGTCAGCTTCAATTACACGGCTCCGACAGCTCAGCTTCCAGTCCCCCAGAGCCGGGCTCTTCTTGAGCCTTCTGGCAAAGCGAATAAGTGCTTTTCTATTTGCCAACGTCTTTTGTGCAAGTTCCCGGCGCTTATGCAAAAGAAGACGTCGCCCATTATGCAAGGTAATCGAAGCGCAAAGACAGTCTTTCGTTGCTGTCAGAGTCGTGGGCCCATCGATTGGGATTGACTTTTCTAGATCCCGGGCCAAGGCCATTAGCCAAGGTGTATGTATCAGACCCGGACACTCTTTTCTGGCCATTTAATGAAATTCGAAAATAAGGATCTAGGCAGAATCAC